ATTCAAAAAACATTCGATTCGTATTGAAAGGAGACGTGCTGATTAGTTTTGGCGAAGGCAGGTCTAGCCGTTCCGAAGATACGGGGCAAAAAGTGCCAAAACGGTACATCGTTTTTTAAGAGAACGGAGCGTCCGATTTGAATAATTCAAAAAACATTTTACTTGTATTGACAAGATGAAAAATTGATCAAATTTTCATGAAGGCAGGTCTAGCGGTTTCAGGGATCTAATGAAAAAAGTAAAAAAAAATGCTATTCGGCGGTTAAAATGATCATTAGACATATGCACATCAAATTATCAGATATTATTAGAGATTTTAACAGTAAGTATAATTTTTTTTCACATTTCTATGGGTTCCGTACCAATGCTTATGCGTTAGGCGGCGGCGCGGCACTTGCGCTGTGACAATTCGTCTCTATATGCAGTTCAAGCAGTACGATTGCATTGAAAAAAAAAAGTTCAGAATTTCCAAAATATGTCAAAATGAAGAAAACATTTTTCTTTTCAAAAAATTTTTTGTTTCCAAAAAAATTTTTCTTTCAAAAAATAAATTTTTTTTCGAATAAAAATTTTTTTTTCAAAAAATAGTAATTTTTTATTAAATTTATAGTTTTTCAAAAATCTAATTTTTTCGAAGTAATTTTTTTTCAAAAATGTTAATCGTTTTTAAAAAAAATAATAATTTTGGGTACGGGAAGTTCCAGCAATTTGCCTTAAGGCACGATGCCCCAATTGCCTTAAGACAGAATTCCACTTACAGCTAGTTTTAAGATGTTTTGAAAACATTTTAAAATTGTTACGATAAGTTTCGAAAGTATTTGAATAATTTTAGAGAATTTTGGAAAGAATATTGAAATCTGTTTAATTAGAATTGAGATTTTTCTTCCGAATTGGACCAACTTGAAATGAGTTGAGTTTTTTTTTAATATTCTAAAAACTATCGTAGATTTTTCTGTTAGGAAATCTCACAGATTACCAAAATTCTTCAGAAACCCACAAAATAATAAAAATAAATAAAAATTAATCTACTACCTGCAAATTAGCAAAAATAGCGACAAAAACAAAAGCACGGACCACATTGATTAGCTTCATTTTATCAATTTTCAACTATTAATAATAATAATTTTATTTATTTATCTTTTTAACAAACTTTTTCGTCCACTTGCTGACCTTAAAATGAAGAAAAACACAAAAAATATTGCTGTTTTATATTTTTTGCTTCAGTGAAATCCTTAACATGGATTTTGATTATTTTTATTAGTTTTGCGATAGATAATTATTTTATCTGTTTTATGTGTATATATATATAATATATATATATATATATATATATACTAGCAAACCCGACGAACTCCGTTTCGCCACCAGATGGTTTCGTGAGAAAGATGAAGAAATTTTTTGTTTGTTTTATATTTGAAAGGAAAAATTTAATTTTATTTACAACAACAGTAATGATTTATTTCGATTACAAAAATGAAGTATTTTTTAGTTGAACTTCTCTAAGTAAATGAAAGTGAATCCTAAATTAATCCGCAAATTTTCAACTAATTTCTTAGCTATAACGAAACGAAATCGGTTGTGCGTTCTGGAGTTATATCGCAGGAAGCAAAACCCGACTTATTTTTATATATAGAAGATAATCTATTTGAAATTATTTAAAACAGTTATTGATTATTTTTATTACTCGAATTTTTAATTACGGTGCGTGAAGTTCCAGCAGCTTGCATTAAGGCACGATGCCATGCACAACTAATTTTCTTAGCTATAAACCTTGCGGAGCCCGAGACCTTTCCCACGAATGCAAAATTGTCGAAATCGGTTCGTGCGTTCTGGAGTTATTTCGTCAGGAAAGAAAACCCGACTTATTTTTATATATATATAGAAGATATATATATATATATATATATATATATATATATTAATATACACACAATTTCACACTCAGAAATAACAGTAAAAAGGAACTTTACTGACAAGTTATAACTGAAATAATATAAAAAAGGACTATACTGGCGAGCAAACTGAACTGAAATAAAATAGGTTCTACTTATTTAGAAATAATATAACTACCGACGAACGAACTGGAATATTATAAAAAAGACTCTACTGACAACCAAATTAAAATTATATAAAAAGAGGCTTTAATGACGAGCTAACAGAAATATTATAAAAAGGGACTCTACTGACAAGCAAAGTAAAATCATATAAAAAGGGACTCTACTGACAAGCGAATCAAACTACTAGTAAAATTGTACTCTACTGATGAGCTAACTGAAACAAAAAATAGGAAGAAACTCTACTGACGAACGAACTGGAATATTATAAAAAGGACTCTGATGACAAGCAAATTAAAATCATATGAAAAAGGACTTAACTGACGAGCAAAATGAACTGATAAATAAAATAGACTCTTATATTTAAAAATGATATAAAAAAGGGACTCTACTGACGAACGAACTGGAATACTATTAAAAAGACTCTGGTGCCAAGCTAATTAAAATCATATAAAAGAGACTTTATTGACGAGCTAACAGAAATATTATAAAAAAAGGACTCTACTGACAAGCAAATCATATAAAAGGGATACTGACGAGCGAATCAAACTACTAGTAAAATGGAACTCTACTGAAAGCTGAGCTAACTAAAACAAAAAATAGAAAGGAACTCTACTGACGAACGAACTGAAATATTATGAAAAAGACTCTAATGACAAGCAAATTCAAATCATATAAAAAGGGACTTTATTGACGAGCTAATAGAAATAAGAGAACAAGAACAATACTTACGAACTATTTGTGGTCCTTGCGGGTCACTAATATTAATAACAAAATAAAAAAAAAATCGACACATTTTTTCCTGCAAATAACATTAATAATAACTATCTATATTTTCTTTATTTAAATTTAATAATATTTAACAATAATACAATCAGCATCTTAAGAACTATTTCTACAAATTATGCTGAACAAATCAACAGTCCTACTGATACCAATCAAGATACTTTTATTTATTTATTTATTTATTCATAAGCAAGCCGTAATCAATAATAATAGATATTATTTCAGGCTCTTGTCAAGCTTATTCATAATTAATATTAAAAGGATAGTAATTTCATAATAATCATAGTAGCTGCACGAATTTCGCTTCTGAAAAAAAAGAGCATTCGAACATTAAATACAATGTTCATCATCAAGTTCATCATATTAAAGTCTATTTGACCACCAGTCAAGCTCAAAATTAAAAAAATTAAATTAATAACATAGCAATAAAAAAAATTTAAAAAAAATATGGTTTTACAGGCGATCAAATGGTCAGACTACATAAATACAGGATAAGGATTATGCAAGATAATAGTTATTGAATTCAAATTGAGAAAATTCAGTAATGTTATAAAAAGCTATGTCTTTAAAAAGTTTAACTAGGAAAGCATGAAATTTTTTGCTGTCTAAGTTTCGGATATTGAGTTTATTCATAATTCTGAATATCTAAACCGTCGATCGAATTGAAAGAGTTGGGCTAATTTATATGTGCGCGCCTTAATAAGTTTGTGTCTAGTATTGTAGTTTGAGAAGGACGAAGCCATATCAAAAAGTTTCGAATTGTTTTTGATGAAAGTTAATGTTACGAGCAGAAAAATGCATGGGACAGTTAGAATATTGTATTTTTTAAATATAGGTCTGCAGGAGGCTTTATTGGGCAAGGAAAAAATTATTCGAATAGCTCTTTTCTGAAGCTTAAATATTTTAATTAGTTCGGATGAAAAACCCCAGAATTGGATGCCGTATGAAACGTGAGAATAAAAGTTGCTATAAGAAACTGCAAGTAAGCAATTTAAACCAAGTTTGGGTTTTAGGGTGCGCAACATGAAACATGTTCTAGATAAAGTTGGTGATAGAGATATGATCAGACCACTTTAAATTATTTTTAATATGGATACCAAGAAACTTTGATACTTGCGAAAAATTATGTGTTGAATTATTGATGGTTATACAAGTAATATTATTGGATAAACGATTTTTTGCACAAAAAGATATGATTTGGGTCTTATCATTATTGATGACTAGATTATTTTCACAAAACCATTTCGTTATTTCTGACATAACCACGCTTAATTTATGTTGTAATTCATTAAGTGATTTGGCCTTGATGATAACGCTGGTATCATTCGCAAAAAGAATAAAATCACAAAGATTTGTACAATGAGGTAAATCATTAATATATATGAGAAATAAGAGAGGCCCTAAAATTGATCCTTGGGGCACGCCCAATGTACTTGTCAATTTATCCGAAATTATTTGCTCGTGATCGTTATTTAAGTAAACGCTTTGTGTTCGATAAGACAGGTAAGATTCAAACAGTTTAAGCGAACGTCCGCGAATACCACAATTTTCTAATTTGTCAAGAAGTCTTTGATGAGAAATACTATCAAAATCTTTGGACAGATCGTATCCGTTAATTGTAAGACAATCAATCTGCGAAGATTTAGTTTTCGTGTTGATTTCCGAGTTAATTAAGGACCAAATTGTTTTCTGTTTATTTGCTGAATTAAAAATTAAGTTTTCGTTGAATTTGATCTTCGCTAAATTGATTAGATCATTTAAAGTTGCCCTATATTTCAAAAAATAAATTATAAAAGCCATGTTATGTTATTGTGTTGTATGTTAATAATAATAATTATGTATATTTTCTTTATTTAAATTTAATAATATTTAACAATAATACAATCAGCATCTTAAGAACTATTTCTACAAATTATGCTGAACAAACCAGCAGTCCTACTGATCCCAATCAAGATACTTGGTGAATCTAATCTTGCTGATCAGGATCAGCAGGATCAGCAGGATCAGCAGGATCTGGCAAATCTTCTATGGAATTTTCTTGGGAAACATCTTCATTGATATGTTGCTGATTATCTGATAGTTAAGAACTATTTCTACAAATTATGCTGAACAAACCAGCAGTCCTACTGATCCCAATCAAGATACTTTGTGACTTTGAATCTAATCTTGCTGATCAGTATCAGCAGGATCAGCAGAATCAGCAGGATCTGGCAAATCTTCTATGGAATTTTCTTGGGAAACATCATCATCGATATGTTGCTGATTATCTGATACTTTTCCCAATGGCTGGTGGTAACCAGATTGCTGGTAACCAGGTTGCTGGTAATCGGGATATTGATAACCAGGTTGTTGGTAACCTGGTTGCTGATAACCAGGTTGCTGATAACCACCTGGTTGCATCTCAGGATAATGTGGTTGCTGATAACCATAAGACGGATAACCGGGTTGCTGTAGAGGCACCATCGGGTAACCCTCTGAATGCTGGTAATTCGGATAATAAGGCTGGTATGGTAGAAAAGGTCCAGGCAAAACTGCTTCTGGTTCTTCGACTTGAATATAATTGTGGGAGCATCCTGGTGTCAGATCAGCTAAAGCAGCTGACAGCAAAAGATATTTGCCGAATTCGTAGCTGTAGCACAAAACTTTGCCGAATTCATATATGAATTGGGCGAGGGCGTCGGTTTGATGCTAGAAGGAGAAAAAATTATATAAATTAGTAAGTGAAAATGCTGAACCGATTTTGATAATTCAAATGATTCGTGCTGACCAGCTGAATCGTGTCTCAATAATTGTTTTTTGGGAAACAAAATATACTATAAGACTCAAAGCACAAAACTTTTCCCAGTTCATATAAGGTTGTCAAATATCTCCCTTCCGCCTTTTTGTATTATAAACCAAGAGCAAAAAAGCGGAAGGTAGATATTTGACAACCTAATATATGAATTGGGCGAGGGCGTCGGTTTGATGCTAGAAGGAAAAAAAATGATATAAATTAGTAAGTGAAATTGCTGAACCGATTTTGATTATTCAACTGATTCGTGCTGATCATCTAAATTGTTTCTCGGTTATTAACTTCCCGTAGGGTAAGTTATTGTAATGGGCCGAAAATCGGAATTGAAAATTTTTACATTTCTCGACGTTTTGAAGGTTTCTAAACATTTTGGCATACCTCAGAAAAAATGGATGCGTTTGTGTGTGTGTAGGTATGTATGGATACAAATTTCCAGTCACGTTTTCGGGCGCACGGATCAACTGATTTGAATGGTTCAAAAAACATTCGATTCCTATTGATAGGGAAAAGAACTGATTAGTTTTTTACAAAGGCAGGTCCAGCCGTTTCGGAGATACGGAGCAAAGAATGCAGAAAATAGACATCGACTTTTTGAGAGAACGGAGTATCCGATTTGAATGATCTAAAAAACATTCAATTAGTAATGATTGGGAGAAGTGTTTATTAGTTTTTGGCAAAGGCAGGCCCAGCCATTTCGAAGATACGGAGCTAAATATGTAAAAAATGGCAGTTTTTGAGAGAACTGAGCGTCCGATTTAAATGATTCAAAGAACTTTCTGCTTGTCTTAACAAAATAATTGATTTTGGAAAAAAAAATTTTGTTTCAACTTTCTTTTTTTTTTTTTTAATTTTTTGTATATCGAAAATAATTCAGATTTTATTTTTAATTCTGACTATAGTTTTAATGTACTTTAAACAAATAATTTCAACATTGCAATTCAGTTTATATAATTCTTATAAATATTAGACAATGTTACAATATTTATAATAATCTATTTGAAAACATTCAGTATTCCTCGAACATTTTGTTACGGTACGGGAAGTTCCAGCAATTTGCCTTAAGGCACGATGCCATAATTGCCTCAAGACAGAATTCCACTTACAGCTAGTTAATTGCTGGAACTTTCCGTACCGTAATGAAATATCCGAGAAATTTTAAACGTTTTTCAAATCTATTATTACAAATACTGTAACTTTCATTATTTTTACTATCTTGTTTGTTATATCCGAGCAAAATCAAATGTAAATCATAAATAAATTAATTTATCTCCAGAATATTAACAATCGTAATTTCATTTCGAATTCAATTTAAAAAAATACAAATAGTTGCCTTAATTTACACAAAATTGAAAAAGTGCTCCCGTATAGTCACAGTCTAAACGCATTTGAAAATAATTCTGTGCGACATTTTCACTCATACTGTGCTTAGCTTGACGACATTTTCACATTTTTCAATAGTCTCCAATTTTTGTAAAACTATTGAAAAATTGAAAAATGTGAAAATGCCGCGAAAGCTTAGCACAGTATAAGTGAAAATGTCCCACAGAATTATTTGCAAATGCGTTTAGACTGTGACTATACGGGAGCACTTTTTCGAATTTGTGTAAATTAGGCAACTATTTTTTTGTTATTGAATTTGAAATGAAATGACGATTGTTAATGTTTTGGAGATAAATTGATTTATGATTTATGATTTACATTTGATTTGCTCAGATATAACAAGATAGCAAAAATAATTAAAGTTACAGTATTTGTAAGAATATATAATATATACGGAAAGTTCCAGCAATTTGTCTTAAGGCACGATGCCATACACCACTAGTTTCCAAAAATCCGACGTTCATTCTGATTTTTTTTTTTTTGTTTTCTTATAAATTGCAATCTGTCTATATAGAAAAACATTTAGTAATTAAATCCAACTAAAAATTTGATATATATGAATGTGTGTGTATGTTTGTCTATTTTTAATATTTTAACGACTTTCTGAAAACAGCTGAACCGATTTTAAACATTTATCGAGTTCGATGGAACTCGATTTTTCATAAATACTTCTAAATTTTATTAAAATTGAATAGCATCGGAAACTTAGATTTAATCGCAATTTTAATTAATCTCAAAAAAATAAAGATATTCGATAAATTTGGTAAATTTTTGATAAAAACTGAGAATTTACGATTCAGTGAATTAGAACTAAATTCGTTAGTAGCAGTATATTAAGTTGATAACACAATTACTTAGTATAACTAAATTAGAAGTGTAATTAAAAATTTAACAAAAATTGAAAACAATTTAAGTTCACACAACAAGTTAAGTTAAAAAGTTCCAGATTTTAATTTACAATTTCTATTTTCATTATTCATAATTTTTAATTTGAATTTGTAAGTACTTGGCTTTAATATATTTTTATAGCCATATTTCAATTTATTACTAAAATAAAATATTCAAATTTTTATACCTACCTGCAAAAGCGAAAACACAATAACAAATAATATAAATTTAACATTTTTGCATTTCATTTCAACAAAACTAAAGTTTTTTTTTAAAAATTGGATGCAATTTATTTAAAAAAGAAACTTTACGACTGTTTTAAATATTGTGCGACTAAAATTTCGCCGTGTGCAATTATTTATTTATTGCAAATAAATTTTCTATACAGTTCCATGTAATAAATGTTTCTTTACGGTTTATTTGATACGGAACTCTAGATTTTAAGTAATTGGCGAATTTTATATATATATATATATATATATATATATATACTGGCCTACTTTTATATATATTAGTTATTATATTTTCATATTTATTAATTGTAAAACAGTAACTTGCCTCAAGGCAAATCTCGAACAACATTTTGCATGTGACATATCAATGAATAGGTCTTAAAGAGACCAATACGATTTTAGTATTTGTTTTTACTTATACTATAATAGTTAATATTTATTACTATTTGACACTTTGATACTATTCATAATTAATGCTAACAATTTTCGTTGAGCAAATGTACTTCATATAATTTATTAAGAAAAAAACTTAAAATTTAAATTAAACCAAAATGATTTTGATTGACTAGTCTATAATAAGGGCTAACAATGTAAAATTGTATCGTTTTCTCACTCACTCGCTCGTTAGTAACGTATCTTTTATCTCTTTCTCTCTCACAATAATGTTACTACTAAAAATAATAGTGTGCAACTTGCCTCAAGGCAAATCTCGAACACTATTTTGCATGTGACATATCATTGAAAAGGGCTCGAAGAGAAGAATACGAATTTAGTATTTGTTTTTGTTTATACTATAACAGTTAAAAGTTGATACTAAAAAAGGAAATAATGTCACTACTTAACTGTGCAACTTGACACTAGAACAAATCTCGAACAACTTTTATCGTGTGGCATATTACTGAAAAGGGCTCGAAGAGATGAATACGAATTTAGTATTTGTTTTCATAACAAATCCAATAACTAGTTATAAGTAATTGTTACAGTATAAACAAAAATAATTACTAGATTCGTATTCTACTCTTCGAGCCCTTTTCAATGATATGTTACATGCAAAATAGTGTTCGAGATTTGCCTTCAGGCAAGTTGCTATTTCGATTACAAGAGAAGATTCTAGAAAATTAATTGACAGACTGGAAGACGAAAATGGGACTCTGCTGACGAGCTAAATTAATGATTTTAAAGTAGCCATTAGAATTTAAAAAAAGGACTCTACCGGCTAGTAAATAGAGCCAAAACGTGTGAAAAGAGGAAGGACTCTACTGACGAGCAAACTAAATATAGCAATCTATAAAAAAAAATGAATTCTATTGACTAAAAAAATAAAGAGTAATCTAGATAATAAGAAAAATACTCTACTCTGCGAACAAATCAGTTCAGAAAAAAATCTGTGGACATTAAATAAATTACAATAAAATCAATTTGCTTGTCACTAGAGTCATTTTTTTGAAGAAACCTATATTTAGTTTGCTTGTCAGTAGAGTACTTTTGATGATAAAATTTGGATTCAGTTTGTATGTCAGTAGAGTTTTTTTGAGAAACTTAAAATCAATTTACATGTTAGTAAAGTCTTTTAGTTAAAATTCAGATTTAATTTGCTCGTCAGTAAAGTCCTTTTTTTAATGAAATCTAAAATCAATGGCTGGTTTGTAAAGTTCTCTTTGAAAATCTAGAATCAAATTGTTTGGCAGTAGAGTCCTTTTTTGAAGAAACCTAATATTTAGTTGATGAAATTGGGATTCAGTTTGGTTGTCAGTAGAGTCTTTATCGAAAGCTTAAAATCAGTTTAATTGTTAGAAGAGTCTTTTTTGTTAAAATCTATATTTAGTTTGCTCGTCAGTAGAGTCCTTTAAATCAATGGCTATTCTACAAAGTTCTATTTAAAAATTTGGAATCTTGACTTTTTTTAAAAAATCTGTATTCAGAATGCTTATCAGTAGAGTTCTTTTTATGATGAAATTTTGATTCAGTCAGTAGAGTCTTTTTGAGAAATTTAAAATCAGTTTACATGTTCATAGTCTTTTAGTTAAGTCATATTTAATTTGCTCGTCAGTAGAGTCCTTTTCTAAATCTAAAATCTAAAATCAATGGCTGGTTTGTAAAGTTCTCTTTGAAAATCTAGAATAAATTTGGTTGTCAGTAGAGTTCTTTTTATGAGAAACTTAAAATCAGTTTACTTCATATTCACACAAATTTGAATAGTGTTCTTTTATGATTTTTAAAACTTTTTTCAAAATATTTCTCTCACCATTTGCCCTAGTTTTACTTTCAATTTCAACGTTATAGTTTATACTTTGTACTTCTCGAATGAAATTCACGCACAAATGAAAAGAAATAAGTCTAAATAAAATATATAAACTATAAGCACAATTTGTGTCAGCCTGAAGCGATTTGCAATGTTTAAAATTGCAACACGATTAAATTAGTCAAAATAATAGCAATCAATTGAAGCCAATTAGAAATCAAGCAAAGATAATAAACCATTATATATGTATCTAAAATTAATTAAAACTACATAATTAAAATTCATTGAAAATAAATTAAGTATATAACTGTTCTAAAAATAAAAACAATACAAACCAATGTTAGTAAAAAGACAAGAATTATCAGCACACCAGGAACAGATTTTTATTGACTAATTGCACATTCATTAACATTATCGATATTTTTTACAACAATAACAGTATCTGCTGAATTCAAATCACTCTCCTTTAAAGTCTTACTCTCATCAGATAAATCTAATGCTTTAGGCGGAATATTTGAAATCTCCTAAAATATGCTGTCCTTCTCTTGATTTGACTTTTCACACGTAATTAGACATCTTCACGTTTTGGCTAGTTACCAATAACTTTAAATTATATTAAAAATTTGAGGTTAATGTTAACTGTTCAAGATCATATTCAAGTAGATATATACAAACCAATATCCTCTTGGGTTATCGGATATTACACTTTATATTTTTTAAAAAAAAAAAACAATTTGTCACAAATAATTCACAACTCAATCAATATTTATTACATATAATATTCAACAGTGATGTTACTGAACAAGAATACAATACATGGTCATTTTCCTTACCCTCAGATAAGCACATTGTTTGTAGCCAGTGGTTTAAAGATCTTGCCCACAAATCCAAAAATCACCATGCTGATGGCGAGACAAGTCGCTTCAATATACAATTTGTGATCGTGATCAAGTCCCTCAATACGAAAAACACTGTCAACAAACATTTCGCCCCAAGAGTCCATCGCAAGTTGCAAAGCCACGACCAGCACTTTGCAGGAACGTGGTGCCTCGGTGTACCTAAACTGCTCAAATGTAAGACTAAAGTAAATTTCTCCAAAAATCAGCAAAGCGCTCTGCGGCAACATCCATGATATATGGACAACGTTGGGTTCTGTGATCTCGTAAAAGTCGGCAGTGTTGCCAGATATTGTTGCCAAGTAAACACCGCCCTGGTACATGTCGAACTTCTTGATGCTGATACCGTTCAGAATCAGCTCATACTTTTCCACAACAACTTGTTTCAACCTGGTGCCATCGGTTACAACCGGTTCGCCGGCAATAAAAGTTGGTGTTGGAGTCATTGCCACTTCCACTCCTTTAGAATCCTTCAAAATGACACTGTCCATCAATCTGGCACCGGCGACTGTGATAATAGGTTCGCCAGCTTCAGATTTTTCCAGTCTTTGTTCGTAGGATATGATAACAGCCTGTCCGTCTTCATTTTTCAGCAATATCGATACAGATGTACCGGCTTCGGCGTTTATTGTTTTGCTTGCAGGTGCAAAACACGTTCCCTTCATAGAAATCGCTATTGACTGATAGGATGCCGAAGGGACGTGTTTATTTGTGTACATTCCACGAGGGCTCAGTACAAAAGTATGAGGATCAATACTCGATGCATCAATTGCAACCGGACAGTTGAATCCGTTAGTTATCCTTATCTGCACTTCTTCGCCACTCGGCAATTCTGGTAAATTTACCTTGATGCGTGTTTCTATGAACCCGGATATCCAAAAAGCGATTGCTACCATCATACCGCCGAATATCATTTTCCTAAAAGTTCTATCCATTTTGAACTTTACCAGCAACGGGTCCACAACGTACTGACAAAGAGGTAACATAACAGCAGCCAAAAGTGGATTTACTAGTTCAAAATGTTCTATTATAAAAGTGTACGATCCAAATTGCGTGTCCGTTCTACTTGCTTGAAACACCCATTCGTCTTGGTACATAAAGTAAACACCCTTATAAAGTGGTACACAGCAAAATATCATCATCATATTCAACACTGTTCTTATATCCAAAATAAGTTGTGCTTCATACTTTGGTTCAGCGTGATCTAACCAATTTGGTTTTGGGTTAGACTTTCTCTCCTTCAACCAATGGGTGAATCCGTACCACATACAACCAGCAATCAATTGAGCAATCCGGCGTGATGGTTTGGTAATGATAAAAAATCTGGATCCGGCTAGATAAACAGATAAAACTACAAACATAGTAATCAGACTGACACTAAATGTAAGCATGTAGCAATCCTGTTCGCCCAAGCAAGTAACGTGTGTTTTTAGAAAAGGTCCCAGAAAATTTCCGAAAAGTACCACCAAGTTGCGTATCACATAGGAATATCTGAAATACTTCATAAAGGCGTCGTTCTCTTCCGGAAGTTTGAACTGGTTTCCTTCAAATGCAGCTATAACTGTATTTGTAACAAACATGAACACAAAAGTGACTGCTAATCTGACAAAATACAATTCCTTGCCGATGTGTCGTACAACTGGCGCCGAGATGAATGTCAGTACAGAAGCACCTGCAATTGTTGCAACGCAATCTACAATGATGACGTGGAATTTATTGGGATAGTTTTCGGCCACCAACGAACCAAACAGGTACAACCAATACATAGTGGATCTGCGCCATCTGAATATAGAAGCTGTCTCACCTGTTGTGAATCCCAGTTTGTTCACCATGAAGGTTCTATGCACAGTATTTGTGACCATTAGTTGGAAAGCTGTTAATGATCTGGCAACAATCAGAAAATATGCCGCCGTCGGCATCTTACTTGGTCCCTGTTGGCCTTCCATTTTGTACAATTTCCCCTAACTACAAATTTAAGAAAGAATTCGCAATTTTCACTTAGATTTTTGACAATTGACTTCAATTCGATGTCAGTCCCCGTTCGACTAGGAGCTCTCTTTTGTTTTGCATTAATGCTGAAACGTCATTGACGCAATTGGTCGCGATGTCAGATGGCTCGAAGCGATCGGCCGCGAATAATAAATTGCAAAGTCGTGATGATATTTTTCAGCAAAGAAAAGTCTCTGTCCTAGGCAATATTAGAATACCCTGTGTTCATATAGACGTTTCTCTCTCCCGATATTTACGTTCAGAAGGGATACTTAAAGTGTCCTCCGCTCGACGTGATGGCGCTGCTTTTGGCATTCAAATTTGAAAACAAAGTTTAAAATTTCTCGAATATTTCATTACGGTACGGGAAGTTCCAGCAATTTGCGTTCAGGCACGATGCCATATATCACTAGTTGTATTAGATCTTACTGAAGGTCAAATCCGGTTTTTTATTGTTGTTTGGTTGATTGAATTTTGAAGGACCAATTTGTTGTAAATGACTTTGATTATAACTTTATGTATTTATTTTATAATAATTACAAATTATAATTGTATTTACAATAATTTCAATATTTTCAAATATTGTAATTATTGATTTTTTATGTGATTTGGTATTTATTGCTTTATTTTAACTTCCCGTAGGGCAAGTAATCGCAAAAAAATCAAAAATGAAATTTTTTATATATCTTTACATTTCAGAGGTTTCTGAACATTTTGGCATACCTTAGAAAAAATGGATGTATGTGTGTGTGTGTGTGTGTGTGTGTATGTATGTATGTATGTATGTATGTATGTATGTATGTATGTCGTGTGTGTATGTATGTACGGATACAAATTTTCGTCGAGGATTTCGAAAACACGGATTAACCGATTTGAAAAATTCAAAAAACATTTCACTTGTATTGACAAGATGAAGAATCGCTAAAATTTTCATGAAGGTAGGTCTAGCGGTTTCGAAGATATGGAGGAAAAAGTAAAAAAATGAGCCAATTGGTGGTGAAAAATGATCATTAGACATATGCACATCAAATTATCAGATATTTTATAGAGATTTTAACAATAAGTATACATTTTGTTAACATTCCTATGGGTTCCGTACCAATGCTTATGCGTTAGACAGCGACGCGGCGCTTACGCGCTTTATATTTTGTCCCTATGCAGTTAAAGCAGTACGATTGCTTTGAGAAAAAAGTTCAGATCTTCCCCAATATGTCAAAATAAAGAAAAAATTTTTTCTTCAAGAAAAAAAATTTTTTTTTTTAATTTTTGTTTCAAAAAAAAGTAATTTTTTGTCAAATTTATAGTATCTCAAAAATCTAATTTTTTCAAAGTAAATATTTTTCAGAAATGTTAATCGTTTTTAAAAAAATAATAATTATTGGTACGGGAAGTTCCAGCAATTTGCCTTAAGGCACGATGCCTTAATTGCCTTAAGACAGAATTCCACTTACAGCTAGTTTATCAATATAATTGCACGTTTTGATTTGGCGCGAACAGCATTTATGTCCTCCATATGAGTTTGAAGATGTTCTCTTCATATTGTCAAAGGGCTATGCATTTGAGAGCAATTCCTAATGAAATCTTTATTAACAAATATACAAACACAAACGAACAAGAATCGCCATTTTGTAAACTTACACAAAAATATCACTGACATTTCTTACAAATTTGCGACTACAATTGGGCCCCTAAGTAGCCCTTTTGAACGAGGATCTCGTTCTGAGATAAAAGGCCCTGGACTCTACCGACATTTGAACAGAACAAAAGGTATCCTACTAAATTACAAAGAGAGTCTACTAACAAATTAGAGATTATACTTAAAGGAACACTACTGACGAGCAAAGTCACAATCAGTCAAAAAAAGACTCAAAAGCGGTCAACAAGAAACTCTACTGACAAGCAAAAAGACTCTACTAGCAGACTTAAGAACTCTACTAACAGAAAATAAAACTTTAGTGACAGACAAAGAAACTCGACTGACAGGCAAAGGGACCTTACTAGTGTAGGACGCAAAGGACTCTACTAACGAGCAAAATCCAAATGATTCTGAAAGAGACTGTACTGACAAGCAATTTAAACATCATTCTGAAAAGGACTCTACTGACAAGCAAATGGACTCTAAAAACAAACAAAATTATATTTGCAATTTGCAAAATTATAGAAAATAACATTTCTAATGAATAACAACATTACTGATAAGACGAAATTTAAAACAGAAAAATGATTCTACTAACAAGCAAAATGCCTATTGGCAGACACGAAGACACAGAACAGAGGAAAAGGACTCTACTGACATATTAATTCATCACATTTTGCATGTGACATATCATTGAAAAGGGCTCGAAGAGTAGAATACGAATTTAGTACTTGTATTTAGTATTTTTTTATAATAAAACTAATATTCAATACAAATGAAATTAGTCAAACTACTAAAGTGGCAACTTGCCGATAGTCGAATCTCTATTATGTGACATATTTAAAACAGCTTGAACATATGAATACGAATTTAGTATTTGTATTGGTTTATACTATATTGGGTAAAAATTTATACTAATATTGATACTACTTAAAATAGTAATGTGCAACTTGCCTCAAGGCAAAACTAGAACACTATTTTTCATGTGACATATCGTTGAAAAGGGCTCGAAGAGATGAATACTAATTTGATATTTGTTTTTACTAATAATCAATACTAATCAATAATCAATACTAATTAATTTAGCGAAATTACTAAATTGGCAACTTGCCAAAAGTCGAATCTCAATTATCGTGTGACATATCATTGAAAAGGGCATGAAGAGATAAATACGGATTCAATATTTGATTTTGTTCATACTATAATGATCAAAAATTTATACTATCTAACATTTTGATAATTAATGCAACAATATTTATAAGCATATGTACTTCTTCAAGATTCGTTAGGGAAAACAAAAATAGACAGATAGTATCTTTAAATTTAAATTAAACCAAAATTAATTTAATTAACTAGTGCGTAAGGGCCAACAATGTGAAATTGTATCGTTTTCTCACTCACTCGCTCGTTAGTGACGCATCTTTTATCTCTTTTCCCCTCAAAATAATGTTACTACGTAAAATTATAAATGTGCAACTTGCCTCAAGGCAAATCTCGAACACTATTTTGCATGTGACATATCGTTGAAAAGGGCTCAAAGAGAAGAATACGAATTTAGTATTTATTTTTAGTTTTACTACAATAGTTCAAAATTTGTACTAATTGAGGTAATAATGTCACTACTTAATAAGCGAATGGCAATGTGCAACTTGCCTCAAGGCAAATCTCGAACACTATTTTGCATGTGACATATCATTGAAAAGGGCTTAAAGAGAGGAACATGAATTTAGTATATGTTTTCATTTATATTCCAAAAGAATTATATGGGTTTTCATTCGCGTTATTAATGTGTAAAATTATTATTTTTCAAGAATGTGATTCAATAATATATTATTGATAGTTGTACATTTATAGTCTAGCTGAAATAAAAAATAAATTATTTTTTCTTATTGAACTGTCTAAGAAGGGTTTTTTGCAAAGTTGCATAGTCTTAACTTAATAATAATACTATTATTATACTATTGTTATATTGCATACTGTTATTATACCATAGATATTAAAAAAAAAACATGTAAAATTTGTAGCATTGTTAAAAAAAATCTGTCTTATTAAAATTTCCCAGTATTTTTGAATGTTTTTCATATAAAGTATAAATAAAAACAAGCACTAAATTTGTATTCCTCTCTTCAAGCCCTTTTCATTGATATGTCACAGGCAACATAGTGTTCGAGATTCGCCTATTGGCAAGTTGCTGTTCTACTACATTCTAGGTTTAATAATTTGTGATTTTAAAATTTAAGTATAAGTAAAACTAATACATACTGAATTCGAATTCCTTTCTTAATGGATATGCCACATGTTTTGAGTTTTTCCTACTGGCAATATGAGATTCTGCATTCTAGTTCAGTCATAAATTCAATTTAAGAATTATCAACAATTAGTTTTGGTATAAAATATAAACAAAAGCGAGTACCAAATTCGTATTCCTCTCTTCAAGCCCTTTTTAATGATATGTCACATGCAAAATGGTGTTCGAGATTTGCCTTGAGGCAAGTTGCTATCTTACTTTGTCGCTCCGCTCCGTTGTGTATACGTCGCTCTCTTTCGCTCACTATGATTTTATAGCAATCCATCTCTTTTTCTCAACACGTAAAATCTATTATTGTTATTTATTATCTATATTGTTATTAATATATATTGTCTCACTTGTATGAAGAATTTGGTTGAAGTTCGAAATATTGCAATTAAAATACTTTTTATTTTTAGTTTTATTACTGATGCCATTATTTCTTGATAACGATTTTTTTAATTTCACAACCTGTCAAATTGGTTTGCTTGTCAGTACAGTCCTTTTTGGATTGATTTTTAATCTGCTAATCAGTAGAGTCCCTTTTAGACTTATTTTGATTTTAGCTGTCAGTAGAGTCCTTTCCAGACTAGTTTTCAGTAGTCAGTAGAGTTCTTTTTGGAGCTATTATCAGTTTGCTCGTCAGTAGAGTTTTTTAGATGGATTTTCAATTTGGTTTCGAAGTTCTTTGTCAGTCTAGGTTTTAGTTTGCTCGTCAGTAGAGTCCTTTTTAGATTGATTTCGAAGTTGTTCGTCAGTAGAGTCCTTTTTAGACTAAATATCAGTTTGCTCGTCAGAAGTCTTTTTCAGTTTAGGTTTTAGTTTGCTCGTCGGTAGAGTCCTTTCCAGGCTCATATTTAGTTTGCTCGTCAGTAGAGTCCTTTTTAGATTGATTTCAAAGTTGCTCGTCAATAGAGTCTCTTTTGGGCTAGTTTTTCGTTCGCTCGTTAGTAGAGTCCTGATAAACTAATTTTTAATTTGCTAGTCAGTAGAATTCTTTTTAGATTGATTCCGAAGTTGTTCGTCAATAGAGTTCTTTTCAGTCTAGGTTTTAGTTTGCTCGTCGCTAGAGTCCTTTCCAGGCTCATATTTAGTTTGCTCGTCAGTAGAGTCCTTTTTAGATTTATTGTGATGTTGCTTGTCAGTAGAGTCCTTTTTAGACTGATTTCCAAGTTGTTTAGAAGTAGGGTTTCTTTTAGATTGATTTTGATGTTGCTTGTCAGAAGAGCTCTTTTTAGATTGATTTTGATTTTGGCTGCCAGTAGAGTTCTTTTCAGACTCATTTGTAGTTTGCTCGTCAGTAGAGTCCTTTTTAGATTGACTTCGAAGGTGTTTGTCAAAAGATTCCCTTTTAGATTGGTTTCGAAGTTATTCGTCAGTAGAGTCCTTTTCAGACTGATTCTGATTGTGTTTGTCAGTAGAGTCCTTTCAGACTAGTGTTTAGTTCGTCATTAGAGTTTCTTTTTTACTAATTTTAAAGTTGCTTGTCAGTAAAGTCTTGATCGATTACCAGGGCTTATTATCTTAAAACAAAATCCTCGTTCAGAAGGGCTACTTAGGGGTCCATTTGTAGTCGCAAATTTGGCTCTAGTGAGCCGATGAAAAAGTATTATCAAATATTTTATATTAATTAGTAAGAAAGGTCAGTGTTATGTTTGGTGATGGTGATTTTTGTTCATTTGTGTTTGTACATTTGTTAATAAATATTTCATTAAGAATTGTTCTCAAATGCATAGCCCTTTGACAATATGAATAGAACAGCTTCAAACTCATGTAGAGGACTTAATTACTACGTAATGAAATGAAACATTAGTCACGTGTAATCATAATGCACATTAAGAAAAGAGGCCAGTTCTAGGAAATTATGTAAGCATTCAAGTATAAGCTTCTACAAGAAAGACATATTACACAAATAGAAATCTTCCAGCTGCTTAAATTTGGATTACGACTTCTCACCGATCTGAATAAACCTACTTATAATTAGAAGAAAATGAATTGCTTAATAATGACAAATTTTGCATGCGATGATTATTAGTTAATGAGAGTTAAAAATGACAGACGATGTAATGAACTAATACTAAAATGCATTATTCACTAAATTTCACTAAATATTTATATTAATAAATAGACAAAGTGTAGAAGTTATTCCAGTAGATTAGATGTGATATCTATTATATATAAACCGGCAGTGTATTTGTTGATTTATATTTTGATTTGATTGTATATTCATTATAATATAATATTATTTAGTATATTTTTGTTATTATTGTATTATTACAAAACATAATACGATTGCAATACTAAATTTAGTTTCAAATACCCGATTACTAAAATTCATTAATTTTCTTTTCAAATTTTGCGCTATTAATTTGAATGCCAAAAGCTGCGCCATCACGTCGAGCGGAGGAGCCTTCGTCTACATGAACACGGGGTATTCATCGATTTACTCGATTCGAACAATCTAGAAACTTTCAAAGAAAATATGAACGCAACCAATCACGTCGTCGAATTCGCCCGAATGATCAATGACGTTTCAGCATTTGTGCAAAAACAAAAGCCAGTTCCAAGTTGATCGCGAAACGAAATCGGTTGTCTAAAATTGAAGTGAAGTGAATTTGGACAAAATGGAAGGTCAACAGGGATCGAGTAAGATGCCGAAGGCGGCATATTTTCTGATTGTTGCCAGATCATTAACAGCTTTTCAAGTAATGGTTACCAATTCTGTAATGAAAACTTTCATGGTGAACAAACTGGAATTCGGGTCAGGTGAGACCAGTTCAATATTAAGGTGGCGCAGAGCTGTTATATATTGGATGTTCCTGTTTGGTTCGTTGGTGGCCGAAAACTATCCCAATAAATACTATATTGTTCTCTTGGAATGTGTAATGACGATTGTCGGTCTTGCTCTACTCGTATTAATGTCGGCGCCAGCTGTTCGACACATCGCCAAGGAAATGTTCTACTTCAGATACGGGTTGTGTTTTGTCTTCTATTTCATTTCCAATACAGTAATACAGGCATTTGAGGGAAACCAATTTAAACTTCCGGAAGAGAGTGCTGCTTACACGAAGTATTTCAGAATTTTCTATGTCGTCCGTAACTTTTTGGTACTTTTTGGAACTTTTCTGGGACCTTTTGTAAAGACTCACGTTACTTGCTTGGGCGAACAGGATTGCTTCATGCTTACATATAGCGTCAGTCTCATCACCATGTTTGTTATTTTGGGTGTTTACATATCCGGATCCAGATTTTATATCATTACCAAACCATCACACAGAATTGCCCAATTGATTGCTGGATGCATGTGGTACGGATTCACCCATTGGTTGAAGGAGAGAAAGTCTAACCCAAAACCAAATTGGTTGGATCATGCTGAACCAAAGTACGGAGCACAACTTGTTTTGGATATAAGAACAGTGTTGAATATGATGATGATATTTTGCTGTGTACCTTTATTTACCGGTGTCTACAATTTGTACCAAGACGAATGGTTGTTTCAAGCAAGCAGAATGGACACACAATTTGGATCGTACACGTTTATTTTGGAACATTTTGAACTGATAAATCCTCTTCTAGCAGTTGTTATGTTACCATTTTGCCAATACGTTATGGACCCGTTGCTGGTAAAGTTGAAATTGGATAGAACTTTTAGGAAAATGATATTCGGCGGTATGATGGTAGCAATCGCTTTTTGGATCTCCGGGTTCATCGAAACACGCATCAAGGTAAATTTACCAGAATTACCGAATGGCGAAGAAGTGCAGGTAAGGATATTTAACGGATTCAACTGTCCGGTTGCAATTGATGCAGCGAGTATTGATCCTCAAACTTTTGTATTGAGCCCTCGTGGAATGTACACAAATAAACACGTCCCTTCGGCATCCTATCAGTCAATAGCGATTTCTATGAAGGGAACGTGTTTTGCACCTGCGAGCAAAACAATAAACGCCGAAGCCGGTACATCAATATCAATATTGCTCCAAAATGAAGATGGACAGGCTGTTGTCATATCCTACGAAGAAAGACTGGAAAAATCTGAAGCTGGCGAGCCTATTATCACAGTCGCCGGTGCCAAAATAACGGACAGTGTCATTATCAAGGATTCTAAAGGAGTGGAAGTGGTGATGACTCCAACACCCACTTTGATTGCCGGCGAACCGGTTGTAACAGATGGCATCAGATTGAAACAAGTTGTTGTCGAAAAGTACGAATTGTTACTGAACGGCATCAGCATCAAGAAGTTCGACATGTACCAAGGCGGTGTTTACTTGTTAACAATATCTGGCAACACTGCCGACTTTTACGAGATCACAGAACCGAACGTTGTCCATATATCGTGGATGTTGCCTCAGAGCATTTTGCTGATTTTTGGCGAAATTTACTTTGACATTAATGTGTGGCAGTTCACGTATACCGAAGCTCCTGCAACCTGCAAAGTGCTGGTGGTAGCTCTGCAATTTGCGATGAACTCCTGGGGCGAATTGTTTGTCGACAGTATCCTTCGCATCGAAGGTCTTGATCACGATCACAAATTGTATATTGAGGCTACTTGTCTTGCTATCAGCATGGTGATTTTTGGATTTGTGGGCAAGATCTTCAAACCTTTGGCTACGAACAATGTCCTTATCTGAGGTAAAAATGGAGTATAGTTTTTAATTTATAGCCGCATTGGTTGAGTTGTAAACTGTGTATAATAATGTTATAGCTAGTTGATTTTGATAAAAACTGCATCAGTTTTTTTTTGCTGAATTCAGTAAAATTGAATCTTTTTAATATTTGTTTTATTACTAACACTTTTCTTTAACCAGAAAACAATAATTTTGTTACAGCACTAAAATAATAAAGAATATAAAACTGACGAACAAACTGGTTACAGATTTAACATACACGAGGACTCTACTGACAAGCAAACAGAAACTAGTGGTGTATGGCATCGTGCCTTAAGGCCAATTGCTGGAACTTCCCGTACCGTAATGAAATATTCGAAAAATGTTAAACGTTTTCAAATATATTATTACAAATACTGTAACTTTAATTATTTTTGGCTATCTTGTTATATCAAATGTAAATCATAACTTAACAATCGTCATTTCAATTCGAAGTCACAGTCTAAACGCTTCTGCAAATAATTCTGTGCGACATTTTCACTTATACTGTGCCAGTATAAACATTTTTCATGTGGCATAGCATTGAAAGGGCTTCAAGAGACCATTGCAAATTTAGTATTTGTATTTAGTACTATTTTATAACAAAACTAATAATAAATACAAATTAAATCTGTCAAATTACTAAAGTGGCAACTTGCCGATAGTCGAATCTTAATTATAATGCGACATAACATTGAAAAGGGCTCGAAGAGTGGAATACGGATTTAATATTTGTTTTGGTTCATACTATAATGATACAAATTTTACACTATTTAACACTTTGATAATTATTGCAACAATTTTTTTAAGCAAATGTGCGCATGTATGTATGTAACGTAGAAATTAGATGGACAGTATCTAAAAATTAAAATTAATACCAAAATGAATTTGTTTGACTTGTCTGTAAGGGCTAACAATGTGAATTTGTATTGTTTTCTCGCTCACTCGCTTGTTAGTGATGCATCTTTTTTCTCTTTCTCCCTCACATTAATATTACTACTTAAAATAAGAATGTGCAACTTGCCTCAAGGCAAATCTCGAACACTATTTTGCATGTGACATATCGTTGAAAAGGGTTCGAAGAGAGGAATACGAATTTAGTATTTGTTTTTGTTTATACTAAAATAGTTAAAAATTGATACTATTTGAGATTTTGATGCTATTCATAATTAATGCAAACAATTTTTTTAAGCAAAAGTACTTCCTAAAAATTTATCAGAAAAAACAAAGACAGTATCCTAAAATTAAATTTCAAACCGAAATGTATTTTATTGACAAGCCGAGAGCTGACAATGTGAATATGTATTGTTTTCTCACTCACTCGTTAATTAGTGAAGCATCTTTTATCTCTTTCTACCTCACATTAATATAAATATATATAATGTGCAACTTGCCTCCAGGCAAATCTCGAACACTATTTCGCGTGTGATATATCGTTGAAAAGGGCTCGAAGAGATGAATACGAATTTAGTATTTGTTTCTATTCATATTTTATAACAAAACTAATAATAAATACAAATTAAATCTGTCAAATTACTAAAGTGGCAACTTGCCGATAGTCGAATCTTAATTATAATGCGACATAACATTGAAAAGGGCTCGAAGAGTGGAATACGGATTTAATATTTGTTTTGGTTCATACTATAATGATACAAATTTTACACTATTTAACACTTTGATAATTATTGCAACAATTTTTTTAAGCAAATGTACGCATGTATGTATGTAACGTAGAAATTAGATGGACAGTATCTAAAAATTAAAATTAATACCAAAATGAATTTGTTTGACTTGTCTGTAAGGGCTAACAATGTGAATTTGTATTGTTTTCTCGCTCACTCGCTTGTTAGTGATGCATCTTTTTCTCTTTCTACCTCACAAAATATATATAATGTGCAACTTGCCTCAAGGCAAATCTCGAACTTGTAATAATTGATTTGATCAATTTAATTGAGCTTTGGCTATTCGGAAACAATTAGTTATCTGTCAGTAGAGTCCTTTTTTTATTCTAGATTCTGATTCTTGTCAGAGGTACAGATATATTTTGCAAATCAATAAAAATCCCTGGGATCGACAGTGGAGTCCTTTTCTATGTCGATAGAGTCCTTGGCAGAGTTATTATCTGATTTGATTTTATAAACAATTTTGCTCGTTAGTAGAGTCCCTTTTTTTTGCCTCTGTAGAGTTCTTTGGCTTGTTTGGCAGTAGAGTCCTGTAGCTGTTTTATTAAAAATTATCGTTTTATTCTATTTTATGATATTTAAAAATATTTTTGCTCGTCAGTAGAATTTCAATCTTTCTAATTTAACATCGTGTCAAATTGATTTGCTCGTCAGTAGAGTCCGTTTTGGCTGATTTTTAGTTTAATTGTAAGTAGAGTTCTAAATTGTATACATATTTGACTTTTCTTGTCAGTATAGTCCTTTTTCTATTCTAAATTTCATTAGTTGTAAAATAAAATATGAAAATTGTTTTTTATAATCTCTCATACCAGGCACCTCTGTCTGACTGAGATATGAAAATAATGTATATATGTAAATAAACAGTTTTTTTTGCGATTTTGCATTTTGAAAAAATTAATTTGCTTGTCGGTATAGTCCTTTTGCGTATCAGGAGAGTTATTTTTTATTACAAAATATTAATACTTTTGATTTTAGAATTTACAATGTTTTTGCTCGTCAGTAGAGTTCTTTTGCTGGTCAGTAGAGTCCTTTTCAGAATGATGTTTAAATTGCTTGTCAGTACAGTCTCTTTCAGGATCATTTTGATTTTGGTCGTTAGTAGAGTCCTTTTTAGAATGATTCTAATTTTGCTCGTCAGTAGAATCATTTTTTGACTGATTTCGATTTTGCTTGTCAGTAGAGTCCTTTTTAACTTCCCGAAGGAGAAGTTTATGTTTTCATAAAAAAATCCGATTCGCTAATTTTGTTTTCTCGACGTTTCAAGCCATTCTGAATCGAATGAGACCAAATTTAAGAGAAAAGTATGTGTGTTTGTATGTGTGTGTGTGTGCGCGTGTATGTGAACAGATTTTTGCCGTAAATCGACGTTGACTCAAAAACGGTTAGACCAATTTCAAAAATTTAAAAGCCTTTCGATGTATTTCGATAAAGACTAGCGTTTGTGAGTTTTGTGCGACGATCGGCCAAGCCGTTTCTTTGTAAATTGCAGAAAAGTGAAAAAATTTTCGTCCACGTTTTAGCCCGCAATTCTGAATCGATTTTGAAAATTCAAAGACTGTTTGAAAGACATTGGTTTAGTTTTTGGTAAAGATCGGCCGGGCCGTTTTCTTGTAATAAAGTTTTTTAAAAAAAATTTCGACGATTTTTATTATTTTTTTGACGGTAGATACCATAGTCTTTTAGATCATACTAAAATATTACGGCCCGACGACAACTCGTTTAGCTTTAAAAATTCGTCAGTGTTTGCAAAAATTAGTATGTTTTTTTTTGCATTTGTCGAAATTAGACGATTTACTTGGTACAACAATAGAGTACTTGGTCTTAATGAACATGATAAACAATTAAAGTCTTACAAAAAACTGGCTCAATTATCAAAATTATTGATTTTTGAAAATTTGCTTTTAAAAAGTATTTCGACCGGGTTGACGTGTTCGATTTTTAATAATGTGTAATAAATCCACTTCGAATACTTTTACCTACTCATGAATTAATTTATCTATCATGGATTAAGTCGATTATTCACACATTTCGGGAAGTTCATGTAACTTGCCTCAAGGCAAAATACTAATACCAACTAGTTAGATTTTTATTTTGCTCGTCGGTAGAGTCCTTTTTAGACAGATTCTAATTTTGATCGTCAGTAGAGTCCCATTTTGACTGATTTCAATTTTGATCGTCAGTAGAGTCTTTTTTTACCTAATTTTTAGTTTGCTTGTCAGTTCAATAATTTCAAGTTTTATTGTCAGTAGAGTCAGTATAGTCCATTTCTATTCTAGATTCTGTTTAAAAGTCAGTAGAGTAGTTTTTTGTTATGAAAAATTATTATTCGAAATTTGGAATTTGAAATTTGTAATTCATTATTCGCGCCCAATCGATTCGAGTCATCTGACATAAAAGAAAGATGGCGTCCAATCACATCAACGAACGCATTTCGAATGATATCATCGACGACCAATGACGTTTCAGCGTTTGTGCGAAACAAAAAATAGTCCCAAGATGGACGCGAACTGACATCGAATTGAAGTCGGTTGTCAAAAATCAAAGAGAAAAAGTCGAATTCTTTCTTAGATTTGTAGTGAAGTGAATTTGGACAGAATGGAAGGTCAACAGGGATCGAGTAAGATGCCGAAGGCGGCATATTTTCTGATTGTTGCCAACTCATTAACAGCTTTTCAAGTAATGGTTTCTAATTCTGTAATGAAAACTTTCATGGTGAACAAACTGGAATTCGGGTCAGGTGAGACCAGTTCAATATTTAGGTGGCGCAGAGTTGTTATATATTGGATGTTTCTGTTTGGTTCGTTGGTGGCCGAAAACTATCCCAATAAATACTATATTGTTCTCTTGGAATGTGTAATGACGATTGTCGGACTTGCTCTACTCGTATTAATGTCGGCGCCAGCTGTTCGACACATCGCCAAGGAAATGTTCTACTTCAGATACGGGTTGTGTTTTGTCTTCTACTTTATTTCCAATACAGTCGCACCGGCATTTGAGGGAAACCAATTTAAACTTCCGGAAGAGAGACCATTACCAGTACCAAGACGAATGGTTATTCCAAGCAAGCAGAATGGACACTCAATTTGGATCGTACACGTTCATTTTGGAACATTTTGAACTGGTAAATCCTCTTTTGGCGGTTGTTATGTTACCATTTTGCCAATACGTTATGGACCCGTTGCTGGTAAAGTTCAAAATGGATAGAACTTTTAGGAAAATGATATTTGGCGGTATGATGGTAGCGATCGCTTTTTGGATCTCCGGGTTCATCGAAACACGCATCAAGGTGAATTTACCAGAATTGCCGAATGGCGAAGAAGTGCAGGTAAGGATAATTAACGGTTTCAACTGTCCGGTTGCAATTGATGCATCGAGTATTGATCCTCATACTTTTGTATTGAGCCCTCGTGGAATGTACACAAATAAACACGTCCCTTCGGCATCCTATCAGTCAATAACGATTTCTATGAAGGGAACGTGTTTTGCACCTGCAAGCAAAACAATAAACGCCGAAGCCGGTACATCTGTATCGATATTGCTGAAAAATGAAGACGGACAGGCTGTTATCATATCCTACGAGCAAAGACTGGAAAAATCTGAAGCTGGCGAGCCTATTATCACAGTCGCCGGTGCCAGAATGATGGACAGTGTCATTTTGAAGGATTCTAAAGGAGTAGAAGTGGCGATGGCTCCAACACCCACTTTTATTGCTGGCGAACCGGTTATGACTGATGGGACCAGATTGAAACAAGTTGTCGTCGAAAAGTACGAATTGTTACTTAACGGCATCAGCATCAAGAAATTCGACATGTACCAGGGTGGTGTTTACTTGGCAACAATATCTGGCAACACTGCCGACTTTTACGAGATCACAGAACCGAACGTTGTCCATATATCGTGGATGTTGCCGCAGAGCATTTTGCTAATTTTTGGCGAAATTTACTTTGACATTAACTTGTGGCAGTTTACGTATACCGAGGCTCCTGCAACCTGCAAAGTGTTGGTGATGGCTCTGCAACTTGCGATGAACTCCTGGGGCGAAATGTTTGTTGACAGTATCCTTCGCATCGAAGGTCTTGATCACGATCACAAATTGTATATTGAGGCGACCTGTCTTGCTATCAGCATGGTGATTTTTGGATTTGTGGGCAAGATCTTCAAACCTCTGGCAACCAACAATGTCCTGATCTAAGGAAAAAGAGATGCATAATTTTTATTCTTCAGCCGCATTGGTTGAGTTGTATACTATGTATTATAATGTAATAGCTAATAGATTTTGATAAAAACTACATCAGTTTTTTTGCTGAATTCAGTAAAATTGAATCATTTAAATATTTGTTTTATTACTAACACTTTTCATTCACCAAAAAACAACTAGTAGTGTATGGCATCGTGCCTTAAGGCAAATTGCTGGAACTTCCCTACCGTAATGAAATATTCATAAATTTTAAACGTTCTCAAATATATTATTACCAATACTGTACTTTTTATTATTTTTGCTATATTGTTATATCTGAGCAAATCAAATGTAAATCATAAATCATAAATCAATTTATCTCCAGAACTTTAACAATCGTCATTTCATTTCGAATTCAATTTAAAAAAATAGTTGCCTAATTTGCACAAAATCGAAAAAGTGCTCCCGTACAGTCACAGTCTAAACGCATTTGCGAATATTTCTGTGCGACATGTTCACATATACTGTGCTTAGCTTGGCGGCATTTTCACATTTTTCAATAGTTTGTTTTCGTTTTCACAAAATTGGAAAAGTGCTCCAATACATAAAAAGTCTAAACGCACTTGGGTAAACATTTGTACCAGAGTGGCGCTTAGACTGTGCTTAGCATGGGTCACTGACAAGCAAACTAAAAAAAGTTTAAAGAAAACTATACTGACGAGGTCAAATCAAAATCAGTCTAAAAGAGAGTCTACTAACAAACAGACTTAAATAATTTGACTTGAATAAAGAACTGTACTGACGTGCAAATATGGATTTTTAAATTTGATATGTCAAATTTTATAAAAAGGAGTCTACTGACGAGCAAAATCAAAATTAGTCTAAAAAAGACTCTACTGACGTGCAAAATCAAAATCAGTCTAAAAAGGACTCTACTGACGAGCAAAATCAAAACTAGTCGAAATAATCAAAACAGTTAAAATCAAAAATAAATCTAAAAAGGACTTGACTAACGAACAAAATTAAAATCAGTCAAAAAATAACTTTACTGACTAGCAAATTAAAAATCAGTTTCAAAAGAAAATCTACTGACAAGCAAATTAAAATTCAGACTCAAAAGAAACTCTACTGATGGGCAGAATCAAAATCAATCTCAAAAAAAATCTAGTGACAAGCAGACTAAAAATCAACTAAAAAAGGGCTCTACTAACGAGCAAACTAAAATTCAGTCAAAAAGAGGTTTTACTGGCGGGCAACCTAAAAGGGACTCTACTGACGAGCAAACCAAAAATTAGCCTAAAAGGACTCTGCAATGCAATAACCAAAACAGTCTAAAAATGACGCTACTGACGACGAAACTAAAAATCAGTCTTAAAAGGGACTCTACTGATGAGCAAACTTAAAATTAGCCTAAAAAGGGACTCTACTGATGAGCAAACTTAAAATTAGCCTAAAAAGGGACTCTACAGAAGAGCAAAGTCAACTTTGTATACAATTCAAAACTCTACTTACAATTAAACAGATAAGAACTCTACCAAAGACTCTACTGACATAGAAAAGGACTCTACTGTCGATCCCAGGCATTTTTTTGATTTGCAAATTATATTTCTATCTCTAACTATAATCTGTATATAAAATAAAAAAGGACTCTACTGACAGACAACTAATTGTCTCCAAATAGCCAAATCCCGATCAAGTTGATCAAATCAATTATTACATAATCGGGTTCATGCAACTTGCCACAAGGTAAATGCCACTTATATCTAGTTATTGGATTTGTTATTAAAACAAATACTAAATTCGTATTCTTCTCTTCGAGCCCTTTCAAATGATATGTCACATGCAAAATAGTGTTCTAGATTTGCCTTGAGGCAAGTTGCGCATTGCCATTCGCATATTAAGTAGTGACATTATTACCTTGATTAGTACAATTTTTGAACTATTGTAGTAAAACTAAAAATAAATACTAAATTCGTATTCTTCTCTTCGAGCCCTTTCAAATGATATGTCACATGCAAAATAGTGTACGAGATTTGCCTTGAGGCAAGTTGCACATTATTATTTTAATTGGTAACATTATTGTGGGGGAGAAAGAGATAAAAGATGCGTCACTGACGAGCGAGTGAGCGAGAAAACAATACAATTTCACATTGTTGGCCCTTACGCACTAGTTAATTAAATTAATTTTGGTTTAATTTAAATTTTAAGATACTATCTGTCTGTTTTTGTTTTCCCTAACAAATCTTGAAGAAGTACATATGCTTAAAAATATTGTTGCGTCAATTATCAAAATGTTAGATAGTATTATATAGAATTTTGATCATTATAATATGAACAAAAACAAATATTGAATCCGTATTTATCTCTTCAAGCCATTTTCAATGATATGTCACACGATAATTGACTATTGGCAAGTTGCCAATTTAGTAATTTGACTAATTTAATTAGTATTGAATATTAGTTTTATTATAAAAAAATTCTAAATACAAGTACTAAATTTGTATTTTTCTTTTCTAGCCCTTTTTAATGATATGTCACATGCAAAATGTGACGAATTAATATGTCAGTAGAGTCCTTTTCCCCATAAGTGGAATCTTCGTGTCTGCCAATAGGCATTTTGCTTGTTAGTAGAGTCCTTTTTACTGTTTTAAATTTTTTTTTATCAATAATGTTGTTATTCAATAGAAATGTTATTTTCTCTAATTTTGCAATCTGCAAATATAATTTTGTTTGTTTTTAAAGTCCATTTGCTTGTCAGTAGCGTTCCTTTTTATTCCACATTTGACTTACGTTATATGTACATTTTATGTAGAATCATTTGCTTCTTTTGCTCGTCAGTAGAATCCTTTTTTATTATAAAATTTCAATCTTTCTAATTTTACATCGTGTTAAATTGATTTGCTCGTCAGTAGAGTCCGTTTTGGCTGATTTTTTTTAGTTTAACTGAAAATAGAGCTCTAAATTGTATAAAGGGTTGACTTTGCTCGTCAGTAGAATCCTTTTTCTATTCTAAATTACATTTAGTTTTTTTGATTTTGCATTTTGTAAAAACAAATTTGGTCATCAGTCCTTTTGCGTGTCAGGAGAGTTCTTTTTTATCACAAAATATTAATATTTTTAACTTCCCGTAGGGTAAGTTATTGTAATGGGCCGAAAATCGGAATTGAAAATTTTTACATTTCTCGACGTTTTGAAGGTTTCTGAACGTTTTGGCATACCTCAGAAAAAATGGATGTGTGTGTGTGTGTGTGTGTGTGTGTGCGTGTGTGTGTGTGTGTGTGTGTGTGTGTGTGTGTGTGTGAGTGTGTATGTATGTATGGATACAAATTTTCGTCCACGTTTTCGGGCGTACGGATCAACCGATTTGAATGGTTCAAAAAACATTCGATTCCTATTGATAGGGAAAAGAGCTGATTAGTTTTTGGCAAAGGCAGGTCCAGCCGTTTCGGAGATACGGAGCAAAGAGTGCAGAAAATAGAAATCGAATTTTTGAGAGAACGGAGTATCCGATTTGAATGATCTAAAAAACATTCAATTAGTAATGATTGGGAGAAGTGTTTATTAGTTTTTGGCAAAGGCAGGCCCAGCCATTTTGAAGATACGGAGCTAAATATGTAAAAAATGGCAATTTTTGAGAGAACTAAGCGTCCGATTTAAATGATTCTAAGAACTTTCTGCTTGTCTTAACAAAATAATTGATTTTGAAAAAAAAATTTTGTTCCATTTTTTTTTTTTTTTTTTATTTAGTTTTTTGTATATCAAAAATATTTCAGATTTTATTTTTAATTCTGACTATAGTACTAATATACTTTCAACTCTGCAAAATGCAAATAATTTCAACTCTGCAATTCAGTTTATATAATTCTTATCAATATTAGACAATGTTACAATATTTATAATAATCTATTTGAAAACATTCAGTATTTCACGAACATTTCGTTACGGTACGGGAAGTTCCAGCAATTTGCCTTAAGGCACGATGCCATAATTGCCTCAAGGACTAGTTGATTTTAGAATTTACATTGTTTTTGCTCGTCAGTAGAGTTCTTTTGTTTGTCAGTAGAGTCCTTTTCAGACTGTTGTTTAAATTGCTTGTCAGTAGAGTCTCTTTCAGGATCATTTTGATTTTGCTCGTTAGTAGAGTCCTTTGCGTCCTTTTGTCCATTAGTAGGATCCTTTTGCCTATTAGTCGGGTGTCTTTGTCTGTCACTAAAGTTTTATTTCCTGTTAGTAAGGTCCTTTAGCCTGGTAGTAGAGACCTATTGCTGGTCAGTAGAGTCCTTTTTAGACCGATTTTGATTTTGCTAGTCAGTAGAGTCATTTTTAGACTGATTCTAATTTTGCTCATCAGTAGAGTCTTTTGTCGACTGATTTTGATTTTGTTAGTCAATAGAGTCCATTTTAGACAAATTTTGATTTTGCTCGTCAGTAGTCTTTTTTTGACTGATTTCGATTTTGCTTGTCAGTAGAGTCTTTTTCAGAATGATTCTAATTTTGCTTGTGAGTAGAGTCCTTATTTGACTGATTTGACTTTGTCAGTAGTCCCTTTTAGACTGATTTTGATTCTGCTCGTCAGTAGTCTTTTTTTGACTGATTTTGATTTTGCTTGTCAGTAGTCTCTTTTGACTGATTCCGATTTTGCTTGTCAGTAGTCTTTTTTAGAATGATTCTAATTTTGCTTGTGAGTAGAGTCCTTTTTTGACTAATTTCGACTTTGCTCGTCAGTAGAGTCTTTTTTTGACTGATTTCAATTTTGCTCGTCAGTAGAGTCCCTTTTGGGATAGAATCTTTTTTAGAATGATTCTACTTTTGCTCATCAGTAGAGTCTTTTGTCGACTGATTTTGATTTTGTTAGTCAGTAGAGTCCATTTTAGACAAATTTTGATTTTGCTCGTCAGTAGTCTTTTTTTGACTGATTTCGATTTTGCTTGTCAGTAGAGTCTTTTTTCAGAATGATTCCAATTTTGCTTGTGAGTAGTGTCCTTCTTTGACCGATTTCGACTTTGCTCGTCAGTAGAGTCCTTTTTTGACTGATTTTTAAGTTTGCCTTTCAGTTCAGTTCTTTTTAGAATAATTTCAAGTTGTATTGTCAGCAGAGTCGTTTTCTATTCTAGATTCGGTTTAATAGTCAGAAGAGTCATTATTTTTGTTATGAAATATTATTTTATAGTTTGATATGCTTTTGGAATTTTTTATTTGCGAACAGTCGATTCAAGTCGTCTGACATAAGGAACGATCGCGTCCAATCACATCAACGAACGCATTCCAAATGATATCATCGACGACCAATGACGTTTCAGCGTTTGTGCGAAACAAAAAAGTAGTTGCAAGATGGACGCGAACTGACATCGAATTGAAGTCGGTTGTCAAAAATCAAAGTGCAAATGACGTTGAATTCTTTCTGAAATTTGTCGTAAAGTGAAATTGTACAAAATGGAAGGTCAACAGAGATCGAGTAAGATGCCGAAGGCAGCATACTTTCTGATTGTTACCAAATCGTTAACAGCTTTTCAAGTAATGGTTACCAATTCTGTAATGAAAACTTTCATGGTGAACAAACTGGAATTCACAACAGGTGAGACCACTTCTATAATCAGATGGCGCAGATCGATTATATATTGGTTGTACCTGTTTGGTTCATTGATCGCCGAAAACTATCCTAATAAATTCCACATCGTTATTGTAGAATGCGTTGGAGCAATTGCAGCTGTTTCTTTATTGGCATTCATCTCGGCGCCAGTTGTACGACACATCGGCAAGGAATTGTATTTTGTCAGATTAGCAGTCACTTTTGTGTTTTTGTTTGCTATAAATACAGTTGTGTCAGCATTCGAAGGAAACCAATTCAAACTTCCGGAAGAGACCGACGCCTTTATGAAGTTTTTCAGATATACCTATGTGATCGGCAACTTTGTGGTAGTTTTCGGAAATTTTTTGGGACCTTTTCTGAAAACACACGTCACTTGTTTGGGCGAACAGGATTGCTACATGCTAGCATTTAGTGTCAGTCTGATTGCTGTGTTTGTTATTTTACCTGTTTACCTGGCTGGATCTAAATTTTTTATCATAACCAAACCATCACGCCGGATTGCCCAATTGATTGCTGGTTGTATGTGGTACGGATTCACCCATTGGTTGAAGGAGAGAAAGTCTAACCCAAAACCAAATTGGTTGGATCATGCTGAACCAAAGTATGGAGCACAGCTGGTTTTGGATATAAGAACAGTGTTGAATATGATGATGATATTTTGCTGTGTCCCTCTTTATAAGGGTGTTTCCAATATGTCCCAAGACGAATGGTTGTTTCAAGCGAGCAGAATGGACACACAATTTGGATCGTACACTTTTATAATAGAACATTTTGAACTAGTGAATCCACTTTTGGCTGCCGTTATGTTACCTCTTTGTCAATACGTTGTGGATCCTTTGCTGGTTAAGTTCAAATTGGATAGAACTTTTAGGAAAATGATATTCGGCGGTATGATGGTAGCGATCGCCTTTTGGATCTCCGGGTTCATCGAAACACGCATCAAGATGAATTTACCAGAATTGCCGAATGGGGAAGAAGTGCAGGTGAGGATATTCAACGGATTCAACTGTCCAGTTGCAATTGATGCATCGAGTATTGATCCTCATACTTTTGTCTTGAGTCCTCGTGGAATGTACACAAATAAACACGTCCCTTCGGCATCCTATCAGTCAATAGCGATTTCTATGAAGGGAACATGCTTTGCACCTACAAGCAAAACAATAAACGCCGAAGCCGGTACATCAGTATCAATATTGCTTAAGAATGAAGATGGACAGGCTGTTATCGTATCCTACGAAGAAAGATTGAAAAAATCTGAAGCTGGCGAGCCTATTATCACAGTCGCAGGTGCTAGATTGATGGACAGTGTCATTATCAAGGATTCTAAAGGAGTGGAAGTGGCGATGGCTCCAACACCGACTTTTATTGCCGGCGAATCGGTTATAGCCGATGGCATCAGATTGAAACAAGTTGTTGTAGAAAAGTACGAATTGTTACTGAACGGCATCAGCATCAAGAAGTTCGACATGTACCAGGGCGGTGTTTACTTGGCTACAATATCTGGCAACACTGCCGACTTTTACGAAATCACAGAACCCAACGTTGTCCATATATCGTGGATGTTGCCGCAGAGCATTTTGCTAATTTTTGGCGAAATTTACTTTACTCTTACCTTGGCGCAGTTCACGTATACCGAGGCTCCTGGTTCCTGCAAAGTGTTAGTGATGGCTTTGCAACTTGCAATGGACTCTTGGGGCGAAATGTTTGTCGACACTGTTCTTCGTATTGAGGGACTTGATCATGATCACAAATTGTATATTGAAGCGACTTGTCTTGCTATCAGCATGGTGATTTTCGGATTTGTAGGCAAGTTCTTTAAACCACTGGCTACGAACAATGTGCTTATCTGAGGGTAAGGAAGATGACCATGTATTATACTTTAGCTAACAAAGTAACAAACTGTTGAATATTATATGCAATAAATATTGATCAAGTTGTAAATTATTTTTTGTTGTACGAAAAATTGCTAATTTTAAATATTTGAAGTTTAACACTTTTTTCAAAATTACTAAGCAACGGCTCGGCCGATCGTCGCACAAAGCTAAGAAACGATAATTCCCATCGAGATACATTAAATGGATTTTAAATTTCTGAAATCGGTTCAGGCGTTTTTGGGCAAACGTCGATGAAAGTTTTAATTGTGACAAATGCCAAAAAAACGATACTAATTTTTGCAAACTTTGATGAATTTTTAAAGCTAAACGAGTTGTCGTAGGGCCGTAATATTTTAGTATGACCTAGAAAACTATGGTATCTACCGCCAAAAAAATAATAATTAAAATCGGCGAAAAAAGTTTTTTCCAACACTGTATTACAAGAAAACGGCCCGACCGATCTTTACCAAGAACTAATCAGGTCGATACCCAACCAATATCTTTCGAACGGTTTTTAAATTTTTAAGATCGAAACAGAATTGCGGGCTAAAAGGTGAACAAAAAATTTTTCACTTTTCTGCAATTTACAAAGAAACGGCTCGGCCGATCGCTGCGCAAAACGATATTCATCATCGAGATACATCGAATGGCTTTTAAATTTTTGAAATCGGTCCAGCCATTTTTGAGGAACATCGATTTTTGGCAAAAAATCTGTTCGCATACACACACACATACTTTTTCCTTAAATTTGGTCTCATTCGATTCAGAATGGCTTGAAACGTCGAGAAAACATAAAATTAGCGAATCGAATTTTTTGATGAAAACATTAACTACTCCTTCGGAAAGTTAATTTTTTGTTTTGAAAGTTCGATTTTTTTTTAATTTCTGAAGAGAACCTTTTTTTTTAAATTTGTTGAGAATTTGGAAATTTTAGAAAATATCCGATTTTATTTGAAATTTCGAAATATTCTCAATTTTTTTTAAAAAATAATTTTTTTTAAATATCGATATTTTTTGAAATTCAGATGTTTTTTAAAAATGATAAAAAAATTTGATAATTTTAGTTCTTTAAAACTGTGATTTTTTTTGAAAATTTTGATTTTTTGGAATTTTCAAATCTACGAATTTTTTTGTAAAACCAAACCAACAAGCAAAAGGTTTTTTTGAATTATTCAAATCGGACGCTTCGTCCTCTTAAAAACTGAGTTACCGTTTTTGGTACTTTTTGCCCCGTATCTTCGGAGCGGCTAGACCTGCCTTCGCCAAAAACTAATCAGCACGTCTACTTATCAATACGATTCGAATGTTTTTTGAATTATTCAAATTGCTTCATCCGTGTTCCCGAAATCGTAATTTGTATCCGCACACACACGAAACCGCACACACGAAAATTTGTATCCGCACACACACATTCATACATCAATTTTTTCTAAGGTATGCCAGTAAAATATTCAGAAACCTTTGAAACGTAAAGATATATAAAAATTTTCAATTTCGATGTTCTTTCGATTACTATATCTGGAGAAGTTAAAAATATATTTATTTATTATCTTTTATACATTTTATATCCATTATATTCTTTATTCGCTTGCCCATTTTCCCAGTTTAATCCGTTAAATTCGATTCGAAAGAAATGAAATCGTATTTTTCGCGTTTCGCACTTTTATCGCATTTTTTATTTTCGTGCGTTGCGTTACGCATATGCGTTCGTCTCCTCTTATTTTGTGCGTGAATTTCATTCGAGAAGGTAATACTAGTACAAAGTATAAACTATGACGTTGGAATTGTAGGGGAAACCGTTGAGAGAAATATTTTAAAAAAAGTTTTAAGAATCATAAAAGAACACTATTCAAATTTGTGTGAACATGAAGTAAACTGATTTTAAGTTTCTCATAAAACGGACTCTACTGACAACCAAACTGATTCTAGATTTTAAAAAAAGATATGCAGACAAGTCAAACACTGAGCTGCAAAAACAAGTCAAAACACTGAACAGCAGAGATTTTGTCAAAATAAGGACTCTACTGACGAGCAAACTAAATATAGATTTTAACAAAAAATACTCCACTAATAAGTAAACTGATTTTAAGTTTCTCAAAAAGACTCTACTGATGTACAAACTGAATCCCAACTTCATCAACCAAAAAAGTCTACTGATAATCATTCTGAATATAGATTTTTTCAAAAAAAGTAAAATTTTAAGATTTTTAAAGAAAACTTTACAGAATAGCCATTGATTTATAGGACTCTACTGACGAGCAAACTAAATATAGATTTTAACAAAAAATACTCTACTAATAAGTAAACTGATTTTAAGTTTCTCAAAAAGACTTTACTGACATACAAACTGAATCCAAATTTCATCATCAAAACAACTCTACTGACAAGCAAACTAAATATAGGTTTTTTTGAAAAAAGGACTCCACTGACAAGCAAATGGATTCTTTTGTAATTTATTTAACGTCCACAGAATTTTTTTTTCTTAACTGATTTGCTCGTCAGTAGAGTCATTTTCTTATTATCTGGATTACCCTTTATTTTTTTGTCAATAGAATCCGTTTTTTATTTTATAGATTGCTATATTTAGTTTGCTCGTCAGTAGAGTCCTTTCTCTTTTCACACGTTTTGACTCTATTTACTAGCCAGTAGAGTCCTTTTTTAAAATTCAAATTGCTATTTTAAAATCATTAATTTAGCTCGTCAGCAGAGTCCCATTTTCGTCTTCCAGTCTGTCAATTAATTTTCTAGAACCTTTTCTTGTAATCGAAATAGCAACTTGCCTCAAGGCAAATCTCGAACAACATTTTGCATGTAACATATCATTTAAAAGGGCTTAAAGAGAAGAACACGAATTCAGTATTTGTTTTTATTTATATTGTCATAGTAAAAAATTAGGGCTAATTAAAAGAATAGAGTGCAAGTTGCCAATAGGCAAAACTAGAACACTATTTTGCATGTGACATATCGTTAAAAAGGGCTCGAAGAGAGAAATACGAATTTAGTATATATTTTTATTTATACTATAATTTTTAAAAATTTATAATAGTTAAAAGAATAATGTTACTACTAATTGTAAGAATAAAAATGTGCAACTTGCCTCTAGGCAATTCTCGAACACTATTTTGCATGTGACATATCGTTGAAAAGGGCTTGAAGAAAGGAATACAAATTTATTATTTGTTTCATTCACATTTTACCTACATCCTATAAGCATATCAAAATAACAAAAAATTACACTTGAAATATAGTAGAATAACAACTAGCCAATAGGCAAATTTCAAACAAATAGCATGCGACATATCAATCAATAGGGCTCGAAGAGAGGAATACGAATTTATTACTAGTTTCAAGTCATTTTTGTGCTCCTTCATTTTTTGTTTATCGAAAGTCCTAAGAAGTTTTACTTCAAAAATATGTTCAAAAACACCTATGTTCAAAAATATGTGCCGTCTGAAACAAAAACAGGTTTTCTAAAACATGTTCAACAATATTCCTAAACTTTAGGAAAAATCAAAATAATTAAGACTTAGGGATACCTTACTTGAACTAAATACTAAGACAGCAACTTGCCTCAAGGCAAATCTCGAACGACATTTTGCATGTGACATATCGTTGAAAAGGTCTCGAAGAGAGGAACACAAATTCAGTACTTATTTTTATTTATATTATATATCATATTTTTATTTAAATTAAATAGCCATAATGTTTAAATTGAATTTATGGCCAAATTGCTAAAGGAACAACTTGCCGATAGGCAAAACTCAATCTTTGTGTGACACATCAATTAAATGGGCTCGAAGAGAGGAACACGAATTTAGTACTTGTTTTTATTTATATTATATAACAATTCAAATCGCAATTATTTTTAAATTAAATTTGTGGCTAAATTGCTAAAATTGCAACATGCCTTAAGGCAAATCTCGAACGACATTTTGCATGTGACATATCATTGAATAGAGCTTGAAGATAGGAATACGAATTTAGTATTTGTCTTTATTTATACTATAATAGTTAAAAATACTATTCAAAACTTTGATACTATTCATAAATAATGCCAACAATTTTCTTTAAGCAAGTGTATTTTCCAAAACTCATAAGTAAAAAAAGACATATAGTATCTTAAAATTCAACTTCAACTAAAATGAATTTGATTGACTAGTCTGTAATAATGGCTAACAATGTGAAATTGTATTGTTTTCTCGCTCACTCGCTCGTTAGTGACGCATCTTTTATCTCTTTCTCTCTCACAATAATGTTATTACTAAAAATAATAATGTGCAACTTGCCTTAAGGCAAATCTCAAACACTATTTTGCATGTGACATATCATTGAAAAGGGCTCGAAGAGTAGAATACGAATTTAGTACTTGTTTTTATTTATATTTTATGAGTAACATTTGAGCATTTTCATATACTCAAAAAAATCTTCAAGTCAAATAATGCATCAAATTAAAATTAAAAGAAGATTGATTACAATATTTAAAAAAAAGTAGTAGAGTTATACAACTCAATATATGTCCTGTGCCCCTTTCTCCTCTACAAAAATGTGCGTCCCGTTAAAAAGTCAATTTCGCGAAAATTCGATAAATTGAAATGCACTTTTGCATTCGCACAGTAGTCGAGTCGTTGCCAGTTTTATGAGCTTTTGCCATACGGCCCACGACAATTGAATTTTAGATGAATTAAAAACACTTTTAATTGAATACAGGGCCGGATCGGGGAGCAGGATAAAGGATAGCGTGAGACGTTTCGGGACTGTCATTCGTCACGGCGAGAGAATGGGTAAGTTTTAGCCTAGAAATGTTTAATTTTTTGACATTTTGTATAGTTTTGATAATGATAAATTTTAATACATTTTTTAAAACATAGAAATTTATTTCAATTAATTTATATATTTCTATACTTTTCGGATTTATTATAATTTATTGTGTTTATATTTTATATGTCCGAATAATGAAGGTCTGTACTGGCATGCAA